AGTCAGTGCTGTGGTTTCCCTAATTTGTTTGCTGAAACTAGAGCGACTGAAGTGTTTGAAGCTCTTGTTCCTTGGAAGGAAGTTCTGACAATTTTGCCAACCTGCTTTGGGGAAAGCCTTATTTATCATTTGTTGATTAAATTTTTTGAAAAATTTGCAACTGCTGCTCATTTAGTTCTATGAGGACTGTGACCGGGCAGCCCACCTCACTTGATTTCTTAGTGTAAAAATCCTTAGCTCCATATTCTGAGCTCAGCGTAAATCAAGGGTCAGATATGAGATTTGCAAATTGCTACATGGTCCCTGAAGACAAATTACAAGCACACAAATGGTCAAACTCATTCTGCAATGGTTCTATTACTAGCCTGCCATTTCTAATCATCTTCTTGGGAGTTTTGCTAATGAGACTCATCCTTACTGAAACATTTCATAGATTTCCAGTTTGTTAGTGCCTAGAACTTTGAGATGGTTTAGTTTCATAACATAGGTATATATCACCTGTTTGCACCCCTGGTAAACTACTCAGCCATCCAAGGTCAAACTCTTGGGCTTAACTTTTCATCCCTACTTTTCAAATGCCTCACTCCTAGAGCTCCTTCAGCATGTTAACATCAATTTTTTTCTTTCTTTTTACTCGATAGATTATGTAAAATTGCCACTGTAAAGAGTTTCTGAAGCTGATGTTTGAAGCAACAGCCCTTTTTCATTCCCTCTGAAGAAGGGCTTATGCTTGAAACATCAGCTATAGAAACTATTTACAAAGGCCAATTTACATTATCAGCTCAGTTGATAAAACCAAATTATTTTTTACCACTCCTTTCATCTTAGAAAAAGTCCTTTTAGAGTAAACTAGAAAAAAGAGCAAATGGTGAAATTTGCCCCAAAAAACAAATCAGGGTGCAACAATTTATTTACATTTTTATGAGATAACATCAGTTCCCTCTGTTTGTATCCTTAAAGAGTTGCTTTCTTGCTAGACACAGTCAACTGAATTTTTGCCAAAAGCTCTTAACAGTTAAAACTTTACTTTATAATGTGAACTGAACATTGCCAAATAATCATAATAATAAAGATAATCATAAAAATATTAAAAATTTCAACAATGCCTCCTTGGGCAATAATTTTTTATGATGCATATAAGTACATCCTCTAATTTTCCTGGCCAATCATGGACCCACAACATGGTCAGTTGCTGTGCTGAACTCACATTCAATAAAATCATGAGTGATTAACATCATCAAACATTGCCACTTCCAAAATAACTACTCTGGGTAACTTCCTTCTTTGAAAGATGCAAATTGTTTGCACAAAATAAATGTAAATTTTTTGCTTAGTTATTATCAGAAGGTCTGTATATTCTTACATTTCACCCCTCATGTCTTCAAAAATTATGACTCACAGTGCAATTGATAGTAGAACTTCAGAGTACTAACTGCTCCATGTATATTGATCATAGCAAGGGTGTGACATCAAAATAATTTTTTCATTAGTCAGTGTACATTCCAACCCTGTAAATTTATACTAAAACTAGGAACTGCTTCATAACTTTAACGACCTTAACCACCCAAGTCTGTAAAACAATTGCTATGTAATGCACTGTTTTAATTAAATTTACAGCAATAAAATGGCCCCACTCACACCTGGTGTAATGAGAGCATATGATATATTTATCAAATATATTTAATGTTGCTAAACGTCCACCTCGGATAGTTCAAAGCTGGGTTAAGGTGACCCAGGGTTAGTGTGAAATTTTATTTCAGGTCTGAAAGCTTTAAAATAAAATTCAGTTCAAATCTTTTTGCTTACAATTTGATCATTGGATGTTCTATTAATAGTGAAAATTTTTTCCTAAAAGACTTTTGATCGAAGAAATAAAGAAACTTGGATTAAAATTTAACCCTGGGTTAGCTCTGATTGGCCTTCGTACAACTGGGCCCTGCTGTTCAGTAATAGATCACAATTGAAAGTGGCGCATAAGGCACAGCTGAGTGTGTCACTGATGTTCTTATTGCATTTTTAAGTGTTATATAGTCTACATGGATCAGTGTACAGACCCATGGCAGCATAAAATCTAATTTGTTTTCTACGTTAAAAAGGCAAATTGTTGTTCATGATGATGTCATATTTGCATCTGTCCTCTGATAGATCATAGGTATGTGTAGGAACCAATCAAAGTTTGTATAGGATTCAGCTTATAATATAAATTTAATTTTCCCTGCATGTACATAAGTACATAAGAATATCAGAATACTTGAAAGAATGCATGCTTAACAAAACGTTAGGTTAACCCGACTGACCGCTAGATTCTCCCTCCAAATTATACAACATTTCCTTGAGAAACAAAGGGAGAAGTTGACGCTGCATCAAATACACTCACTGGCTCTGTTCCACTCACCCCTTCAATCAAAATCCTGGTCTAACCGAGTCAAAAACTTACCAGGGAGTAAAATCGAAAAAAAGAAACAGTGGAAATGATAATAGTGAAAATTTAAGCTCAGTTTAAGCTCTACCTTAAGTTTCGCACGCTGTCTTCCAGTTTGTTGTGCTTGGTAGCGTGTAAGTTTTTATGAGCCACGGCGTTTTGCAGCCTCTGAAAACATTTTTTTACCATTCAAAAATACGAGAGCAAAAACTCCTTTAAAGCCACGAAATATCAAAGGGCTTTTCACGCTCAGAGTTTGGTCTCAGAGTTTTCTCAAACGACTTTGCGGTCACGCCATGTTACATTCCGTCATTCGTTTTCAGTCTTCAACAACTTCCGCGCGGAAACGCGGGAAATCGTAGATAAGCGCGCGACAAGCCTAACATCGGCCGAAAGTGCCAATTTTCATCGTCATTTCGAGGAACTGTATTGAATCAATTTTTTTGAAAATTTGAATATGATATCTCAAAATCTCCATAAAGCCCTCGGATTTTGAATGAACCACTGAGCAATTCTTTACTGACATCAAAGAGCGGTATTGTCACGCACAAAAATGTAGCGAGGAAAGAGATTGCTTCGCGCAGAAGCCTTCAAATGCATGTAGCATAATACAAACTTCACACATGGAAAGTATTACATACTAGCATGCAGGGAGGCATTTTTCAGTAAAATGGAGGGGGATTAAAATATGTTTGCAGGGAAAATACGGCGTTTGCTAGCGGGGGAAAGGTGGTGTCTATTCACTGTATAAGAATAAAATTGCACTAGTAATTGATCGGGAACACGCAAGATGTGTGGCGAGGCAAAAATTGCTACTATGATTTCTCAGGAACATTTAGAGCACAAAGCTATATGATTCTGGTTTGGTGGAATCGGCTCCATTATTACTATTTTCATTTCATTATTTCAGGAGTCCATTATCGTAATTACGTTGTTGAGAGTGAGCCAAACCGATTGCTTGATTGAAACGAAGAAATCACAACTTCTTTATATTTCTAAGCCCCCTGTTTTGGGAAACATCTGGTTAATACTAGGCACCATCAATCACTTCAACCGCATGTTTGCAATATCAAAAATCCCATTTATGAGACGTTCAGTTTTCCTTTAATATTTCAACAGTGCAAATAGAGAATTTTCCCAAAATTAGAGAAAATCTTATTTACTTCCTCCAGCTATGTGAATTCACGTACTTTCCAAAAAGAAATTGATTTGCATGTTAGCTCTTATCTTATTAGCAGAACTTTAGGCCTAAAAACTGACAAATTGGATCATTTTCATTTACAGTTACTTCACTAAACTGTTTCTCTGGAGGATATTTCTCCAACGAATTTGAACGTAGTGTGTGGAAACGGAGGAAACATTTCTGACAAAAAGGCGAGAACAACCATCTAAAGGAGTGGCTTACGGCATTTTTAGGGGAGTGGGGTGTATCCCCTACATGCAGTGTTAACTGTATGCCGAAAACGAGAGAGAAGAAACCCTTCTTACTTAATGCTAATGAAAGAATATGTAGAGGAAAACCTTTAAAAGTAAGCAAGGTGACATCAGAGTTGTCATTTTGAACATAAGAGAAAAAAACAGAAATTAATTAAACCTATGATAGGGAAAAAGAGAAAAAAAAGACCTCTTTCACTCTGTTGGTGATGGCTGTTATTTTTTTTTGTGGATGCAGAAACCATATTTCCTTGAAGAAGCACCCTCCCCTTAATAAGTACCCACCCCCTAGGCCATAATATCAAACAAGTGGAAAACTTGTTTCTATTACCACCTTATTTATAACTTTTCTAAGCTTCAAGTACAATAGAATCACTGACAAGTTGATTGTTTCTCAAAAGAGGCCCCCTTGATTAAGCACCCTTCTTCCTATAGGCACCTCTACTTTTGGCCAAATATTTTAAGCCCCTAGGTGCTCACTCAAAGAACTACCTTATGCTGTCATGGTCTCACTTTAATGTGAAAATACTGTTGTTTGCAAGCACTTTGTTTTTTTAGGCCAAAAGGCCATTCTACACAATTGTTCAAGACTAGCAATTAGGCCTGGGATTATGAAAGAAGTATAGAAGGGGAGATTAAAAGCAATAGTTTTAACTATAAATTTAAATTATGTTAATTAAAAAAGACTCAGAAATTTATTTGCGAATAAGAGAGATTGGTACCTTTCTATTTCCCCTGTTGAGTAATAGCAGTTACTCTAATAATTGTCTGGTGTAATGCAATTCATGAGTTGTGACAATCTATTTGGTTAATTCTCAACCACAAAGTGAAT